AAAGAAATTTTGGCATTTAGATTTGCATCCACTTGAAAATGGTTTCTTTATAAATAAATAAATAACTAAAAAATATGAAAATTGTAATGTATTTTATGTTCTATAATAATCGTTGGGTTATTTTCAAAAATTTGGGTTCCCTTGATCCCTCCGTCGATCTCCGGGAAGACCTTCGAAAAAAGTTGTCTGGCAGTGAGGAAGATTTTTCTGCTCCAAAAACCAAAAACTATAATAAACTGTTATTGAAACAGAAGAATAGAAGTGACGATCGAAGGACTAGTCGAAATTTTTTTCGGCTCTCCAATAAAAGTCGTTATTTATGAGAAAATTCACACTTGGGAATGACTTAAAAAATTGTCAAAAGTAATTATCAAATAACATATTTTTGCGATCATTACCTGGCAAATATATCAAAGAAGGTTTTGTGAATATTTCAAAGCAATCATGGCCATACAGCTCGCCTACACTGCCAGTAAGTTGGACTTGTGACTAGGCCAGCAATCGTCCTGCAATCATTTCGATAATATGTGACAAACTTTCTAGTTTCCTTCCGCTCCTTTGCACATGCTCTTGACAATTCTAATATCTCATGCTCCTAAGACATTTCATTTTACCTGCTGTCTGTATAGAGTTTGTACCGAGATTCTCCAACAATTACTGGCGCACGTTAAATGACAAATGGCATTAACTTCAGGCCACCGACCGATTATTTATGACTCTGCTTTTATATTTGCCTTTAATAGCTTAATACGTCTCAATTAAGTGAGTTTATTAACAATTCTTTTAAATATTTAAAATATTACCACATTACATTTTATAGTGCTTGTAGGCATATTGTGACAATTTAAATAATTATTTGTTTACTTCGCTAAAATGTTCTTTGTCATCATGGAATTATTCACACACTTCAATTTATATGCAAATATTTATTTGATAGATTTCGCCAATTATAATATTTTTTATAACTAAAATATTATTTAGTAAACAAAGTCAATTGGACTACGCTGTGCGACATAAAAATAGCCAACGACCAAGTATACTACTATGGGCAAAAAATAGTAAGACTTTTTGATTTGAATTTCGCGCGAAAACCTATTCGTCGAAAAATTTTCTAGTTTGCTATGATTGTCAGTGGCATCTGTGACAAATGTCACATCAAAATAGCCATTAGTGCTTAATTTAGCTTGTTTTCTGAAATACATAAAGTGCATTAGGCGATTTTAACGTTGAGTTAAAATATTCAACAAAGAAGCTCCATTAAACTTTGTGTGCAGAATCAAATATTTTTTATCATAACATTAAGAATGTTGAAAAAGACCTTCGGTGATAATTGTTTGTGGCGAGCAAGTGTTTTTGATTGGCACAAATTATTCAAAGATTGCACGTTCATCAACATCAACTGATGATAAACATCTCAACCAAATAAGGGAAATGGTGCTTGAGAATCGAATACAATAATTTACGATCACCAGGATGTTATGAAACGTATTATTATATTTCTGGCGATGAGTCACTGATATATTCTTATGACCCAGAAACGGCCGTTCAATCGGCCGAATATCATGGCACAGGTGAATCGAAACCGAAAACAACGTCAAAACAGGTCACAAATCACAATCATGTTGATAGTCTTCTTCGATTGTCGAGGTGTGCTGCAGTCCGAATTCTTTCCGACCACTTTACCACCAGAGCAATGCCCAAAAAAGTTAGGTTAAGTAATGGAATTCTTAATAGGAGCTTACCTAATTTTATTTAAAAATCAAAACCTAGTTTTTATTTAATTTTTAAAGTTTACCTTATTTTTTTCTTTAGCTGAATTGGCAAGTTCTTTTGTAATCACTTAATTTTGTATGATTTGTGCATGAACAATAATTATTTATGTTATCAATAATGGCGAAATACATATGTATATATATATTGCTTTTTATTGATAAAATTTCAAGTTAAAGGCGGTTGTCTGCTGCGAATGCCAGTTCTGCGACCGATCAGAGTGCGTTTATTCACCTTTCATAATTTTTTTTTTTAAGGTTAAGGTACCGTTGTACGTATGCATGCAAATTCAAGACTCGTGATTATATTAAATAATTTAATGCTTGAGTACGACTTTAATTTTTGACTGAGTAATTTTGGAATGACTGTACAGAGGTCTAATAATGAATGTGGTGCTTTTATTGTCATAAGAGGAAAATTCGAAATAGACGTTAATTTTCATAGCGACCATCGCTAAAAGCAATTGAAGCGGTCTAGGGATCCAAATTTACATGTGCTGGACAAGACCAAATCAGACCTATCAGTCTAATCGAGTAGCGGTAGGTAGAATGCTCAAGTTGAGGGTTAATCTTTTTCTCCTCTTGTTTGTTTCGCTTCCTAGATATTTATTTGTTGCCACGCAAGAACCTAATTTATTTCTGATCTAGTTCCGATTTAGTGGTATCAATATTTTCTGTTCTTAACCAAGTTCCATTCAAAGTTATATGCACACCATCCTCAAGACAATCGTTATCTATTTTGTTTTTTCCGACACTTTTCTACGATAAGTAAGCCTAATGACAGTTTATCTAATGGTTCATAGAAGTTCTGGTTATATATCATAATATTCCTATATATACTTTTCTTGCTGTCTAGTCTCTGCTTCGTTCAGGTTGGTTGTCATCTAACTTAAGGTCCAGAAAACTTGCTGGATCGAAGGGGTCGGACCTTATGGAGAGGGGTGTTAGATGAGAGGGATTAACTGAAAATAAAAAGAGGTGGTTAGAGTCCTGCGAGGACTCATTGTATGCTGGACATATATTTGGAATGTCGCGGTCGATTCTAGATAAGTATGAGTTTAACCTCCTACAGTGTTCAAAACGAAATTGTGCAAGGACCACCCTAGATTTTCGGGCCAACTCGAGCTCTTCGTCTGCAATATTTGGTAGTTTGAGTCTAAGTGCGCCATTCACTGAGAGGAAGTCGATAAAACTGTTGATGGCTCCACTCTGAATATTGATGACTCCGCTGTGAAAATCAATCAGTTTGTGTCTAAAGTTTGTTGCGTCCGAAGTTTGGTCGGCGCACTAATCGATGTCGTCGTAAACAAGGGAAGACCCCCTGATGTCCGAAAAAATCGCCTCCGCTTGAAGCAGACAACTTCGAGGATGGTTTCTATGAAAAAAGCAGTCATAGGAACAGTGATCAGGCACAGGCTGTCAAATAAAACATCTAAAATCTTAGGTTTGTTTATAGTCCAAATTTTAACGCCTTCGACTAGGATATTAAGATACAGTTTGTACTTCTTCTTCCCGGTTAGTGAGTGTCAGGCTCCTTGCAGATCGTCTGGGGGTTCTACAAGAGTATGCTCCGATCTTGAAACTTTCTGTTAGTCGCCGCATCTTTTCGTAGAATTTTGATCCGGTTAGTGAATATAGTCGCTATGCTATTTGTAGAAGAGAGTGTGAGGCTCCTTACAGAGATGAAGCCAGAGAGATGGCTGTTTACTAGTCCAGTTTCATTGTACAGGTAAAACATTTAGTATTGACGAACTTCATCATATGCACGGAATGCTTCAGAGAAGACATAATAGGTAATACGGTGGTTTCCTAAAGACCTAGGGTCGTCATCAGACACCCATTCTACCTACCTACCTAAGGTGACATGCTATTTCCTTTTTGTTGCTATCATAGTATGCCTCCTTCCAATTACATGCGAGAAGAGCACAGCGTGATTATATATTTTAAGTAGTGCAAACGAACTTCTGTCAGTCAAGCAAGGGTTAATACCATATATATTTTGTTTATATGTACTACACTAATATTTTTCACATGTTTGATTGATGCCGCTATTTGATTGGCAACATACTTGTCCATTAATAGATGCAAGCATACGCACGCTAACATACTTACATACTAAAATTTATACTTAGAAGCTTGCATTGTAACTATGCAAATGCTTTGACTTTTTTGCTTATAGCCTCATGCATATTTAATAATTTTTTTCTGTGCCTAATCAGTGCCTTGCAATAAGCTACGTTGCAACAGTTCAATGACAAAGCTTGACCTTGCCTTTTTCACTACAAACATCATCTTTAATCAGCAATAATTTTCCTTTTCTTAATCTATATAACATTAGCAGCACGTGTTGAATACTTTTAATCAGCTACTTGCAAGGCTGCATCACTGCATAGACTAACACGCCCACACTTGTTTAAATGCCAACATGCCCAAGTCCAAAATACTTACGCGCCGTAGCGATATGGACGAAAAGGATTCGCTTTCTATAATGGACAGCTTGTGCGCCCCAAATGTGTGCTATGGACATGATGAAACGGTAAGTAATTAGTAAAATCCTTGTTATCAAAAACAAGATGCACATAATACAACTCTGAAATGCTTCTTCATAGATCGATCTCGGCAGCGAATTGGAGACGCCAACTGGTGATGGTGCTGGTGGCGGTGAACGCGAGAAATGGAGTCGCGAAATAGAGTTTCTCTTCTCGTGCATTGCTCTCTCTGTCGGGCTGGGCAATGTGTGGCGATTTCCATTCATAGCATTAGAGAATGGTGGTGGCGCCTTCGTGATACCCTACGTTATTGTATTGCTACTCATTGGTCGACCCGTCTATTATATGGAGGTACTGATCGGACAATTCGCCAGTCGTGGCGCGTTGGGCGTATTCGATATGGCGCCAATTATGAAAGGTGTGTGGCATCTTGAGGAAAGTGAGAGTTGGGTTTAAAGTAGTACTATAGTAAAACACTTTTTATGGCAAAACTGTTTTTTTTTTTATTCAGCCTAGTTCCCTTCTAGGATGATACACCGATTGTAGAGACCCTCCAACCATTTCCATGTAGTACAATTTCTTTTCTTCAAATTAGACTCCAGTTTCGAGGGCCGTCTCTTCATTCGACGAAAATTTATTTTCAGCGACCATTCTTTTGAGATCTGAAAACAGTGGAACTGAAGCATTTCGAAGCCAAATACATAGATTTTCGCCATCATTTTCACTGACTTGTGACACGGTGGTTTGTCTTGCTGAAACAGAACATTTTTCGATCTGGATTTCGTCCTTCAAACAGTCCAATAACGATATGTAATAGTCGTTGTTGATGGTACAGAAGTACAGACGCCACGTCCACGTCTCCACGTCTAAACTTAGATTTTTCTTTTCAAATGATCTGTTACAGTTCAGTAAAGTAGTTATTATTTAAAATTATAGACCTCTGGGATCTGGGATTTAGGATTATATTTCCTTTAAGTAGATTATTAATGTTTTCAACCCAACCCCACAGGCATCGCGTATGGACAGGTTTATGCGACAGCGTTGGCGACCACTTATTACGCCGCCATTATGGCATTAACCATCAAATACTTAATTGCTTCATTTGCTGAAATACTACCCTGGGCCACATGTCTACCGGAATGGGACGACAATTGTGTATCAATTACAAGCTATAATTCCAGTGCGTTTGACAATACTACAGAGGGAAAGCTCATCTCTTCAGCCGAATTGTATTTCACGTGGGTAGCAATGAAACTTTTCACAATAAAAATTTCGCTCAAATTATTCCAACAGCAAGGTGGTGCTGCGCGAGAAGGACAATATCGAAGACGGCATTGGCGCGCCGAATACGGATTTGGTGATCTACTTATTCCTTGTCTGGGTGATGATTGCGACAACGCTCATTAAAGGTAAGATCCAATTTAATATTAATTATCTGTTAAGCCTGTACTAAGTCGACTTTTTCACTTTTCTTCAAGGTATTCACAGCTCCGGGAAAGCCTCGTATTTTCTGGCTTTATTTCCTTATGTCATACTATTTATTTTGCTTGGACGTGCTTTAACTTTGCCCGGCGCCTGGGACGGTATAGTTTATTTCTTGAAACCGCAATGGGATCAGCTGCTGAATGCAGATGTAGGTATCTGGAATGAATTTCCATTCACTCAAAATTTTGTTTTATTTATCCAATTTGTATTATCTCCAATAGGTTTGGTATGCCGCGATCACCCAAATGTTCTTCTCGCTGGCGATCTGTTTTGGCACATTGATCATGTATGCTTCGTTCAATAACTTTCACAAGCGAGTGCACAAGTGAGTAGCTTTCATTTTATAGAGAGATCGTGCTGTGAAAAATATTTGGATATAAGTTCTTTTATCAATGTTGTCATCTTGAGTCTGGGACATTGTCTTGACCTAATTTCATGCGGCCAAATTCTTAGCCGCCTCGTTATGAACCCGGTCATAGTACATCAATCCGAGTACTCCATTGATTTCTTCCGGTTTTTCGTAACCCTATCCCTGCTTGGGTGGTAAGGTTCTTTGTCATCGAAGTTATCTAACGGTAGGGCCAGGAAATATGCTGTTTGGGCGGGATCGGACCATAGGGTATTTCAGAGTTAGGTTTCCTGGGCTTGCAAATAGGTGGTTAGAGAAGTTCATTATGTTCCTTAACCGGAAGCATACTGGCCTGGCGACTGCAGTATAGTTCGAGACCGGGCGGCTGATTGCGTTTTATGTTGCCGACAACGTTCCATTGTCTTTCTTCATGAGCTCCCGACTATCGACTTGAGGATTTTGTTGCATCTCTGTGAAGAGGAGGCTGTCGACTGTTATGTCTCAAATTTTAAGATTATTAACAGTCGGGATTGGAATGTCCTCGACAGTAATGTTAAGATCCAGTCTCTTTCCTCCAGTTTGTGGCTATAGTCGCTGTGAATTTAGTGGGGGAGGAAATGAGCTCTTTCCAAAGAAGAAACGAGAAAGGTCGGAGAGATAGCCATTTACAAAATTTTGATCCCTCTAATCGGTGCTCAAGGGTTGTTTCCGTATTCCTTGCAAATCTCTCTGACTATTACCGGTAGTACTAGGTTTGAGGGTATACCAAAGCAACCAACTAAAAAGGAACAAACTTTACCAGGAAGAAACATTTTATACGACGGGCAGTTTAGCGATTGCCTTGTATAGCTCTTTAATTGTAGTGCTCACCTCTAATAACTATAGGGAAGTCACTTCTTCGAAATAGTTCGAAACGCGGTTAGAATTCTGTCAGATAGAAACCGATATAAACAAAATTTTGTTTGGAGAACTTACCGTGATTCTTATCCATTATATTGTATAATAAGGGAATTCTTTAAACTCTTCTTACTTTCGCCCCTCAAGTGGGAATTTGAGACTTCGTAAGATTAGTAATATATATATGGATAAAATGTTTTGAAAATTACCTAGTTCTCCACAAAAATTTATAGAAATAATAACCCTTGACACTTAAAAATCACTTCCACTCTTTTTCATTATAGAGACGTCATAATCGTAACTACAATAGATTCCTGCACCTCAATACTCGCTGGCTGCGTCATCTTCGGCATACTTGGCAATCTTACGCTGGAAACGAATACCACAGACATATCGAAAGTGGTGAAAGGAGGCGCCGGGTTAGCCTTCATCTCATATCCCGAAGCTATAGCGAAGTTTAAATTGTTACCACAGTTATTTGCGGTGCTCTTCTTCTTCATGCTGTTCGTGTTAGGTAAGTGGAAGCAAAGAGAGAGAAAAATAAGTAGATAGACAGGCAGAGCGATACACGTAGAAGAGAGATTTTGTATAATTCAGTTTTTCTCTCTGCTCTCAACAGGTATTGGCAGCAATATCGGCATGTCTTCCTGCGTGATAACGGTATTCAAAGATCGTTTCAATCACCTGCCACAATGGGTGATAACAATCGGCTTTTCAATATGCAGTTTTCTATGCGGAATCATCTATACAACACCTGGTGGACAGTTTCTGCTCAACTTAGTCGACTTCTTTGGCTGCTCATTTATAGCCTTATTTTTGGCTATTGGAGAGATTGTTACTATATCATGGATTTATGGTATGCTAATCTATGTATAAATAATTTTTCTTTAAAAATGTGAGTGACTTATTACATTCTCCCGATTTCCTGATATCTAGGTGTCAAACGCTTCTGTAAGGACATTGAATTCATGTGTGATCTCAAGACTGGCATATATTGGCGTCTCTGCTGGGCCATTTTCACGCCTGGTCTTATGTTTCTTGTGCTCGTCTACACATTGGTTACTTACAAACCACTCGAATATAATGATGTCGCATATCCAGATTATATTATGAATATGGCTTGGCTCTTGTGGTTCATTGGTGTTGGTCAATTGCCTTTCTGGGCATTATACACGGTCTCCAAGCAGCCGGGTGGTACGCTTAAAGAGGTTGGTACTCGATGTGAGATGTAACATATATATGGGTTCACACCAAATATATCCTTTTTTCAAACAGAAATTCCGTCAAGCCATACAACCCGAGTCCAGTTGGGGTCCAGCGTCACCAGACAAATATGAAAAGTATTTACTATTTATGAAAAACTCAGAGGCGATACCGGATGATAATTGGACGACGCGCATCTATGATAATATTTTCGGTTAATTTTAAGTGAAAATCAGCATTAAGTACTTAAAGCGCCTATTTAAGCATCCATTTTTATACTTACACTGCTTTTTGTGTGCGAAAAAATTACAAAATATTTTCTAGCTTTAAATTTATTTTCATAGTTGGTTTTAGCTTAGTTTTATTGTTAATTTCGCTGCTTTAAGGTTTTTGTATTTATAATAAAGAAAGTACTTAGTTGCTCTAAAATTTTGTAAATATTATATATTTGATATATATGTATGTATATCTTTAATGTAATTCATATTACCGTTAATCGCTTAGTTTATTAGCTACTGTATACGTAAAGTCGCATAAGAGAGAGAATTGGAAGAAGAGAGAGTGCTTTCACTACAGTTTTTTTTAGAAATTCCACGTGACTGGCTTACGTAGCTAGTTTAGGCAGGCGGTGCAGTAGTGGCAAGTGGTAAATTGATTTTTATAGTGTTTATTTTTAAATATTTAGTTATTTTTTATGAACTAACGCTTTGATATGGTTTTGTGTTTTACTTCTAGCGAAAGGAGCGAGGCACGAATTTTCGAAAATTTATTTTTTAAATACCGTTATTTGTAAATATACTACAGAAAACATATCTTAAAAAAATATGCACGTACTTTTATCTATAAATTTAATATGATTTTTTAATATTTTTTATTTTGATGAAAATCTATGCGAAATTTTTTAAGCCCTGTCTCTTATACACATCTAGATGTGTATAAGAGACAGATTTAAAAGATCAGTGAAAACCATTTTGAAAAATCATTTTGGCCTAAGAAAAGTGAAAGCACGATTGGTTTCAAAGTCACTCAACTTTTTGGAAAAACAGCGTCGCGTTAACGTCTGTGAAATAATACTTTCTGACCATTAAAATGCAATAAAACATATTATTACTGGCAATGAGTCTTGAAACTATGCTTAGCTAAGGTTATGGTTCACTCCGAATCCCTCCTGACGCGCCAAACTGTCAACAAGAAATACTATTTGATTATTATGAGTCTGTTGCGCGAAGCTTTCGATTAAAGAGGTTAAAATTATGAGCCAAAACCTCTTGATTTTTGCACCACGATAATGCACCATCGCATACTGCATTGATTCTTCACAAGTTTTCGACAAATTTCTAACCAATATTCTGCCGCTACCACTGTAGTCGTCTGATTTAGCTCCGAGTGACTTTTGCCTATTTAGCAAACTCAAATAATTGCTCCGGAGAAACCGTTTTAAGTCAATTGAAGACATTATAAGCGAATTTCTACGCGCATTCCGGAAAGTGAGTTCAATAACTGTTTCCAGGGTTGGAAAAAACGTTGTCATCAGTGTATTGAGACTTAAGGTGATTAAGGGGACGACATAGGTTTTGAAGAATAAATTAAGTATTTTAAAAGTCTTACTATTTTTTGCTCATACATAGTTGTATTACGAGCAGAAGAAAAGTTTTTACCGACTACACCGTTGATTTTAACTCTCTTCTGAGTATTTCTGGTAAGCGGAGAGAAGCTTACATTTAAAACCTGAAGCAAAAACTGAAAGGCATTCCTATACGTTCATACCATACATACAATATATAGATTTAAATAGTTAATTATAACTACAAAAAATTACATTTTTTACTTTTAAAACAAATTAATAGCTTTGCGAATTTAAACCACGTATAGAAAACAAATGATTCCCAAAAAATCCTAAAATTAAAAAAACTACTTTACTTCTCAACAAGATATTGCATTGATCATTTTAATACTTTTAATAATTTAATATTGTTGTTTTAAGGGGGTATTCTACTCTAGAATTTTGAAAATTTCGATCTTTTTTTTCATATATTTAAAGTTCAGACCCTTAAGAACATATCCTCCAAAGAATTTTTAAAAATTTTAAATTATTTTAAGAGCTACAGTCACTTTAGTGACGCAGTACCTAGCCCGGTAGGTAGGTAGACTCACTTTTTTAAACGCGTTTTTCTCGAAACTACTTTTTCCACACGGTACCGGCATTGTCTCAAGTTCTATACAACCAATTTACTTGAAATTTTTTGTGAACCTTCTTTATATAATCCTTTATCCTTTATCTTTATATAATCCTTAATCCTCTGTTTTTAATATTTAAAAAAAATTCAGGGTTTTCAAAAAAAGCGTAAAAAATGATTTTTATTTTCAGGCAGTCGCCATTTAAAAACAAAAATGTTGTTCGTGTTCCCTTTGGTAGGGACTATAACAGCAACGTTACTGATTAAGAATTTCTTTTGATTTTTTTTGCAGACCACCAGGAGAGTCAGGATCAATGTCATTAGGATCCGCCATTTTTGTTACACCTGTCTCTCCCCTCCCCCCTCCTATAATTATTTAAGTTTTTAATTTTTTTTCTGTATTCTTAAAGTGTCAATAAAAACACCACAAAAAAGTGGATAAAAAATAAATAAATAAATAAATAGAATACCCCATTAATAACTTATTTCTTTACTATTGTTCTTTATCTTTTACTTTTCTAGAAATTTAAATTTTTAATTTTTTTGAATTTTAAATTTTTTGGATTGTTTTTTATTTTTATTCCTGGTTTTTGGTTCTTCTGAATTTCGAATGCTTACCACTAACTTTGAACTACTATCTTTGTAACTTTTAGTTATAAAATTTAAAGCGTTGACTTGTTAGTATTACTTATTACTTTCATATTTAAAATTGCTTAAATTTTTAGATTTTTTTTCTAGCTTAATTGCAGCTTAATGGTTTTTCACTGAGTGTAGCACTTTTGCTCGCATTTATTGCGTAATTGATTTTTGTTTTATTTATCACAGCATTTTTGATTTAGCAAGTATTTATTGATTTAATGCTATTTATTGCTACTTTTGTTAATTTATTTACTTTTTAGTTTGATTATAATAAACTTATAGCATAATGGTTTGCTTAGTTTTCTAACTTATTATGTAATATAATGTAATAATCGTTTTGCATTTCAAAATTTACTAAACAAGCGAATCAAATTTTTTTGCGGTTATGTTTCAAACAAGCTTTTACCGTTAGTTTTTGAAGTTTTTAGAAGTTTGAATTTCCTTCTCTTTTTTATGTTTTTTAATTGTTCTAAGTTTTTTATTTGCTTCTCCTTGATAATTAAAGAAAATATAATTTTCTATTTTATTTCAACTACTTTTGTTGTTTACTCTTTGCTCTCATTTTAATTAGACCGCACATACTTTTTTTTTATGAAGAATAGTAAACACACTCTTCCCCACTCACGAAAAAAAGTTCTAGTGATCCAGAACAGGCTACAAGACTATCAGAAATCACTCAGTTCACCCTCGAGGAACAGCAACTGGCCGCTTTCAAGCTCAAAACTAACAAATCACCCGGCCCACATGGGGTCCCAACAGAAATACTTAAAATAATCGCCGCAGAATGGCATGCAGTACTCTTAAATATGTGGAATGCCTATCTCGAAGCTAGAATATTTCCTGAGATTTGAGGATATCGCCTGCTATGCATGCTCGACACTGCGGGTAAGCTCAATGATTGGCTGCTTAAACTTAGACTGGAAGCAGCTATCAATGAAGCTAGCGGACTTTCCCCCAGACAACACGGTTTTATTCTGGGAAAGGCAACTCTAAGAGCCAACCGAAACGTCATTGAAAATGTAAAAGTCACACATGGTAAATGCCCCAAATACAAGCGAATAGTTCTGCTGACGACTTTAGACGTTCGAAACGCATTCAACAGTTCGAGATGGGCTGGTATTTCGCAACCCCTCACCCGAAAAAACAAAAAAAAAAGAAAGAAAAAATATTATGAAATCATATAACAAAATTAAACAAAATAAATTTGATAGGACATGGTAACTTAAAATAATTACCTACAGTTTTAATTAATTATTTTATTTTATTACATTTTCAATTGAATTAACTATTTCATTAAAAAAAAAAAAAAAAAAAAAAAAAAAAAAAAAAAAAAAAAAAAAAAAAAAAAAAAAAAAAAAAAAAAAAAAAAAAAAAAAAAAAAAAAAACCTANAAAAAGTAATAGTGAAAATAAAAAAAAAATTAGGAAAAAATTTTTACTTCAGCTGCAACAAGCTTTTTTACAGCATAAAAAGATCTTTATATTGATTTTCATCATTCAGTTTGTATAGCTACCTACATATATGCTATGGTAGTCCCATCTGAACAATTTCTTCGAAGATTGTACCATTAGCTTGGACAGAAATCTATCTAAATCTAAAAGTTTGTGAAAGTATTTTGTTAAACAAAAAAGTATTATTTACAATAATACAATTTTGATCGGTCAGTTTATATGTATGTCAGCTTTATGCTACAGTTTTCCGATCTAAACCATTTGTTTAGATTTCGTTCGAAAATGACTAATTTTAAGAGGAAATCTACTCAAATAAAAATATTTTCTATAACAGTAAATTTTGTCGATCGTTCAGTTTGTATGGCAGCTATTTTGCTCCGAAAAAAAAATTAAAAAATTTCAGATTGATATTTCAAAAACTGAGTAACTAAAAGGTTATCCAAATATAAGTACTTTTTTCTATAGCCTTCTTTTGACAGATCACTCGTGAGTGGTGTCAAAGCTGTCATGTTATTTTTGTTCAGTATTGTTTGGCATTTCATCATGGAATGACTTACGCCTGAAGAAGGTTTACAAATCGTTCGATGCAACTCGGATTGACGTATGTAACAACTTGGCGCATTTTACGCCGAGTTCTTAAATTAAAAACGTACAAAATACAGCTTGTGGCAGAACAGCTTGTGAAGCCGTTCGATGTTCCCAAGTGACATCGATTTGCTTTATGAGCTCTTGAAAAGTTCCAAGAAGAACGTTTTCAAGCCACATTTTGTTCAGCGTTGAGTCCCATTTCTGGCTCACTGGATATGTAAACAAGCAGGATTTCCGCATTTGGGACGAAGATCAACTTGAAGAGATTCAAAAGCTGTTATTTCGCCCAGAAAAAAATACATTTGGTGTGGTTTGTAGGCCGGTGGAATCATCGGCATATATTTATTCAAAAATGATGCCGGTGAGAACGTAACCGTCAGTAGCGACCATTATCGCGCCATGATAACCGAATATTTCATGCCTGGAATTGAAGCTCGTGATCTCGGCGATATTTTGATTGAAGAAGACGACGCTACTTCCCACACATCGCATGAATCAATCGATT